CAATAGTTAGGATACTCACTGAAAAATCCAGTACCTGTTTTAGAGGCTGAAGGTTTCCTAGTTTTGAAGTCCAGTCAGAATGCTACCTTAGATAACTTCGAGGCAAAAAAGTTTACAGTACTCCTAACCCTCTCTTCTCCATTCAGATTAACATACTTTTGTACATATGCCTGTGAGAAGTAGGACTGCAGTTCTTTTAATCCCCAAGCCTGCATTCAGGATGATGATGTTTATAAAAAACACTGCTGTAACTATTGTTATTTGATAAACATTTACTCTACACTGACAATTACATCTTAGGAAATTCAGGTTTAATTTTCCAACTGCCAACAACAAATATAGAACACAGTAGGATATTGGGAGACTAGTCTCCCTTACAAGGCCAGCATACTTCACATTGGCTCAAGGTAGGAGGAAAATGAAGTAACACAGGAGCAAAAGGATGGTTGCTCTTCCTCTACAAGCCTCAAAGGCTTCACTAGTACACTTGCAACATATGTTAGAATGCCGAAAGCTGTTCACGGGTGGGAAAACAACAATGGCTCACCAGATGTCCCTGAGATCCACTGCACAACAGACACAGGCATGTGGTAAAGCTGCATCAACAGCATCTACTGGCTTGCTTCTCTCCACTGCAGGAGTCTGGTTACCCATCAGCCACTTTGCAACACAGCCATGCTGGTAATCAGGTAACAGAGATGAGACCAGTATCTGCACTATGAATTGTTCAACAGCCACAGGTTGACAGGAGGGCTGGTATAGATTTCCCAGCTGCATCTCCCTCTATCTCTTATTGCAATCTCAAGGCTGTGAAGGAAGCAGTATTTATATGCTCTCAAATAATTTCTCCCAGAAGACTGGAATCTGCAAAAAAACCCAGCACTTCAATCTGCGCATCATATTGTTTTCAATATAGTGGATGTGTCCTTCGAAAGTCTTAATGCATGACCGCTGAGAGAGCACAAGCAAACTCATTTGTTATTACACTGAAATATTAACTGGAACAAAAAAGCATCCTGTCCTTCCCTTATAATGATAGTTTTTCCAACTTTTATTATAAAGCTGGCAGACAATCGTATGTACACCTAAGCCTAGGTGAGAAGGGTATATTTGCAGTTTTCCTTCCCCTTTGTGCATCTGTACAGGATAGCACGTGATTCAGCATCTGTTCTGAATTCTGCAAGATTAGTCTGTGTAAATAGGTAGCCAGCAAGCAGTTTTGACAGTTGAGACATGAGACAGCAAACCAGAGAAAGGAATCTTCTTGTTCTGTTTAAAAATACTTTTATTCGGAAAAAAAAAAAAAGTAGGGTTAATGAAACCTGTTTCAGTAAGGAAATATTAAATTCACATTTTACAGAAGAAAATATTACAGAATAACCATCCAGTAACTATTACAGCTTTTTTTTTTTTCGATGGTTGGGACTCGGGCCGTTTTCACTCACTTTCATCCACCATCCACAGCAATCAAAAAACCAATTTTTTTGGTAATCCTGAAAAGCGTAAATCACATTGTTACCAAAGTAAAGTTGTCTGGCTGCCTCCTAAGGGTTTTAGTATTTGTCTGATACTAATCTTGAGATACAGCTACTTTGAGATAGTTAATGCTGTTTGCTGCAGCAGCGAGCACTTTTCTAATGAATCTGTGAAAGAGTGCTAGAATCAAAGCCCATTTGAATCCGTATGTGTACTGAGTCCCAAATTCTATAATTGTTAATTGCATTTGGGATACATGTAAGTATTTCTCTTTTTGTACAAAAAGCTAGGCTGTTAGTTCTACTTTTAAACCTAAGAAAGGCAAGCTATTTTCAGGGCTTAACTGCCCCACCACACATAACACTCTTAATGATTTCTCTTACATGCTGTCTCTATCCAGCAATGAGCTGTCTGCAGGAAGTAACAGACTTTTTAGTCTTCGCCTCATTCTTCAACCATGTCTTTGTTAGTATCAGTTGTAGAGATGAAGACGACATCAGTGTTTTTCTCATTCTATTCCAGATCTTGCCATTGATTTCTTCATAAGCTACCTCCTTATGATGTAGGTAGTAAAAACCATAGCTGCCTTCTGGGATGAATATGAAGCTTACTCTGAAAGGATCCAACTGTTTTTACCTGCTCTATAGGTAGAGGTCTCCTCTAAAATACACTGACATTGAATCACACCCACAAACTTTAAACAAACGCCCAAACAATACAAATTCTTAACCTCAGATATGAACAGAATGGTATTTTTTTTTTCTAAATCAATGTAGAGCAGTTCTGAAATTAGATTCCCTGAACTGTGTTAACTCAGGAAAAAGTTTAGTACCATATCCGTTACACTCTGTTTTGCAAATTTATGGCTCCACAGAAACACAGATTAATGTGACTAGAAATTGGTGGCCTGGGAAAGGAGTGCTGCTTTTGATTAAGTGTTTGCCAGAGTGGAGAAGATGGACAATGATGTCATCATACCCAGTGTCTCCACATACCTCACTGATCAGAAACAATTGACAGCAACAGCTAGGATTGATCTATGCTTAATACTTTTCAGACAGTCATCCATCTAGTGATAGTTTTCCCCTGACAATTAAGGAGCTGTTTTTTGAGAAGTACAGCTGCTGCACTTTTGAGTTTGGTGAACATGCCCCACAGGCTACAGGGTTTTGTTCTTGTGGAAAAGCAGCACTTACTGTAATGGCATAAATTCTTTCTCCTGGCAGCCAGCCCCTGGTGCCAACATTTTGTAAGAGGTTACCCATCAGGAAT